AGCGGAGGAGAACCACACAGAACACCCGAAAGGTCAAAGAATGTGAAGTCCCTTTTGAAGTTAACTTTTGAGTCCCTGCCTGGGAGGTCCCCGAGTGTTCCGCCGTGGACTGGAGTTGGCTTTTCTGTTGTGATTTATGTGGAGTGGTTCAAAACAGAAGTTAATCGCTCGGGGAGGCGGGGGAGCGCTCGCGCGCATGCCCGGGAGCCTCCTCGACTTGGTAACTCCACATTCTTTCAGACCCGCCTGCGGGTGCGCTGCCCACCCCGTGGTGCTCCGCGGGGCACCGCGCGCCCGGGGGCTCCTTCGGCTGCGCTTCTGCGTTCCGCGGGCTAGATTCCACGGGAGGCTCTGAAACTCACCGACCTCCTCCTCCTCCCAACCCCCAGACTTTCCCAGCAAGAGTGAAGTTCAACGTGAAAGCCCGGGTCACGGGCTGGTGGTAGTGGTGGAACTCCCCCTAGTCTCCTCCCCAAGGAACAGGGGGAGAACGTGGGACGTGTGGCTAGGCTCCGTGGGAAAGGCGCGGCGAGCGCCTCTTGAACGCCGCCGTTCCCCCCACGCCCCCACCCCCTTGGTGAAACTGACAGGTCAGAGCCCGGCTGGGAGGCGCTCTCTGCTCAGGGGAAGTTCGCCGGCGTCTGTTTGGGGTCTGCTCTTGGAAGGTTGGTTCTAGCTCGTCCGGAGAGAAGCTGGGCTTCCGGAGGGGTGCGCTCTCCCGCACTCCCATTGTTCGGGCTCGGGGTGGCCTCCCTGGCCCGCCCCGCCTCTGGTACCCCTGGCGCCCCTCCCCCACCACTCCCCCGGCGTCCCCTCTCCCGCAGAACTTTCGGGTACCATCCCCACGTTCCCTCACCCCGGGGAGACCGAAGCAGGGACCCCGCGGCCGGCTCGGTGGGAACCTCCGTGATCCCCAACCCCGGGGCGCGCAGGTCCTGCTGCTCAGCGCCGACTCATGGAAACAATGAAAGGTGACGTGTTCGAGGGGAAACTTTGCGACTGGTGAGGGGAGCGGAGACAGCTGAGGTTCCCCAGGTTTCTTTCCCCTTTTAGCCTTCCCTGGGGAATCGTGTGGGGGCGGGCAGGCTCCTGAGAACGTGGGGTTCACGGCCTCCTTTCTAGTTTCTGGCGACCCGGAGCTCCGGGGGGTCCTTGCTGGTGTTAACTCGTGCAGCTTGCGGGCGGACTGCAGTCGGGCTGAGAACTTCAAGAACAAAAGCTACTTGCTTTCCTCCTGTGGACTCCTCCCTCCTCCCGCGTTCCTCCGCGATCCTCCACCCTCGGATCCACAACTGGGAAGGGGAGAGCTTTCCCAGTCGGTTCTGGAAGGACTCCTAGCCAAGCCGGTCTCATCTTTTGTCTGACTCCTAAAAAGTCTGTGCAAATCTCTTTTTAATGCCCTTAATACAAAGACATTTTCAACTTAATTCTAGAGTCCGGGGTTTGGTAAGACTAAGGATGCCCAAAAAGATCCCCCCCCCCCAACGGCTTAAATACAAGCAGAAGAGGTTCGATGAGGGAAGCCCCCTGAGTCTTTCTGCTCCCCGTTTCTGACACTGAAATTCTTGCTTTAGAATTGCTCTTTGACTGGGGCTACCAAGCACCCCTTGGCTCTAGTGACTGGGTGTTAAGTTTGATTCCTGTTGCTTTTCCAGAGGAGATTGTCTGATCGGGAAACTTGTGGGGTTTGCGTTTTTCTAATTGTGTACTTAAACTTTTCCTGGGTTTTCTTTTTTCTAGTCTCTTCTAGATTTTTTAAGTCCAGCTTCACGACCACTATCTCCCTGTGTCCCCTTCCCCCATCTTGATGATACAGAGCTTTTCAGAAAGTGCAGGAGCAACATTGAGAGCGGTGGGGTCCTTAGGCCATCTTGTGGCTTTCTAAACAGCATTTCCTTGTATGTGGATAGAGTAAAAAGAAGTTTGTGAATCTGCCCTCCACCCTCTCCGCAACACATTTTTAAAATTGTAAGCCAAGCAAGACATTTGGAAACAAGTCCTAACCGGGAAGCTTTTCAAAAGCTCTGTTACAATAGGAAATGAGTAAGGAGGAAAAAAGTCTTTGTTTTTCCAAGTTGAGCCACAACCAGGAGGGAGAGTTTTAATGAAAACAGTCCTGACAGCAGCAAACGTGGTTTTACTGCAGTGAAATATCAGCTGGCGTAGCCAGGGAACTGAAGTCTTAACTTCCTGTTACTTCAGCTTTTGTGCACATATTGGAAATATTTGTTAAGAGGTCCTAAGGCCTGGCATTCATTTATTTAAATGAACTGAGAACAGTAAAGTCGCGCTGCAGTTTGGTGTTGTTGCTTAACTGAAACCTGCTTTTGTGTGTCACTAACCTATTCTGAAAGATCAAGCTTCTTGTCAAACTAGGCGTGTAGATCAAAGGGCAGGCTTCAGGGGTTTTTTGTTTCAAACTCTTTTGTTATTACCAACTTACAGTTGGGAATTCACTGTTCAATGAGCAAATTTTCACACTTTTTCTAGATTAAAAAAAGGGAAGGGATAATAGCCTTAAGAAGAATGTCTGGCTTTTCAGACTTTGGAGAGTTTAAACAAATTGCTTTATTCAAATTTGCTTTAGTCATTCAATTAACTTGACACATTTTTTTTAAAGTTAGATTTCTTTAATTATCAAAGCCAATGTGAAACAGGAACTCATTTATAATTTCTTTAAGGTTTTTTAATTAATAGTTCTTCACCCAGTTTTCGGTATGGGTTTTGAAAGTTTCTCATCTTCTCAATAGCGAAAGTAGTTTGTTTTAAATGTGCCCTTTTAAAAAACATTTTAAAAAATTAAATCTTCGGGGAAGGGAAACATCTGGCTGTAAACACTTAGGATTCTTGTGCGGTTTGATTGTGGCTGTTTGTTAAGCCTTAAGCTAAAGTGAATATGCAAGATCATTCATCTCTTTGTTAGAACTTGCTTTACTTTGTCTTTGGAGGGTTCTGCCTTCTCTGTAGCAACACTCGCAGTGCCTTCTGCCCCCTGCAGTCCAAAACTAAAAATGTGTCACCAAGTCAGCGTCCATTAAAAGGGTGGGTTAAAAAAAAGCCTTAAAAATACATGAGATGGTCTATCACTGTGAGGAATATTTTTCTTATTTCCTGTCAGGGTAAACTGGCTCGATTAAGGTTGAGTCATATTTTCAACTAAAAATTACATACTACAGAGGGAAAAAGTAGACAAAGCCAAATGCATCTCTTTAATTTTTTTGTTATTTTAATTAATTTCCCTAATGCAGAAATACTGGTGTTTTCAAACATGCTATAGTTTGTAATTCATTTATATTTTTAAGATTCTAGGTTGTCTTAACAAAAGGGAAATGTGTTTCCTTAGTTATTCAGAGTTGCCTATTGTAGTGCTGAAAGGAGAAGTTAATTGCATTTGTTATTTTTTTAAGTTCAAAATAATGTTTGAATTATCAGAAGGTCAGTTCTGCAGTTTTTTTGAACCCAGTCGATCTGTGATTTAAATATCCTCTGGCTTGTGAATTCTTAAAATTTTTGCCAGGATTAAAGTACTTACAAGCCTCGAGAACTTCCTCTGGGGGGGTGGTGCATATCCCGTTTTCTTTGTCATGCAATAATTTGACTGAACTCTGCCGATTGATATGGTAGTATTCTAGGTTCAGATTAAACTGGCAGTTGAAATTCAGGGGAAATCTTTAATCTGTTCAGTATTAGGCATGTCTGACCTTACTACCAGTGATAGAAAAATATTTTTGTGTAGCAGAACAGAAAACTTCAGTGGTTGTGTTTAATAAAAAATGCCTAGTGCTGTCCACTAAAAGTTGGTGTCTAATTTTGAATACATGTAGATAGCAATGAATAAGAAATGACCATGGAATTAGCAGAAAAATTTTAACACTAACTGGGTTAAGTACAGTCGGAAAATCTCCTTCCTTGTATCCGCTAAAAAATACATAAATCCTCCCTTTCATTTCAAACCTTCAGTGGAGGAAGGAGGAAGAACAACATTTAAGATGTACATTAGGAGACTGGTCAGATTGCTTTTCCTAGTTAGCAATGACCTTAAAAAGAAAGTTATCAGACACATTTCAACTGCCATGGCAACCTTCCTGTTTCAAATGTGGCAAGTTACTCACTTTGGGTGCAGTTTGTCTCCTCTGAAGGATTAGCTTTTCTGAGCATCATTCAAAAGGAATGTGAGAAGTTAATCAATCCTAGAGGAAAGCAGCTAAGAAAGGGCATCTGACAATTGGCTGAGACTATCCCATGCGGTACTAATCAAATTACCCTTGAGGACTTTACATGGACCCTGGGGATTTAGGACAGAAAACACTGGCCCTTTGCATCACTCTCAGTAGTTGAGAAAACACTGCACTGAGTGGTCAGAAGAAATGAGCTTTGCAGTAGCAGCTGTGCTCAGAAAAGCGATTGACAGCTGGCCTTTGTCCTTTCCCAGGTGTTGTTGCAGCATCTGGCAGTGAGACCGAGGATGAGGACAGCATGGACATTCCCCTGGACCTCTCTTCATCGGCTGGTTCAGGCAAGAGACGGAGAAGGGGCAACCTGCCCAAGGAATCCGTACAGATTCTCCGCGACTGGCTGTATGAGCACCGATACAATGCCTATCCCTCAGAGCAGGAAAAAGCCTTGCTGTCCCAGCAAACACACCTGTCTACACTACAGGTAAAGAAAGGGAGCAGGAGGCATACGCACACATTTTTATTTTCAAAGACATCATAGGGCATTCCTGTGTGCCAAGTCATTAAGCTTCTCTCTACTCAAAAAAAGAAGGAATATCTGTGAACTTTATAGTGCTAAAGCTATTAACTGGTTATTTTGAGAACACAAACACTTGACAGTCATCTGTCAGATAACGTTTCCTTTAATGCCTAAAAGAGCTTTCCTTTATGCAACAAACATAAAAAGGAGGTTAAACCGTACTCTATTGCCCAGGAAACTGGTTTGATATTTAAACAAGGACAGACTTCAGTGAGGTAATTCATGTTATGTCTGTTGACATAGTCATTTGACCTGGGAAGAATCAGTTACTGAGAGGAGTGGCCCTTTTCATACAGGAAAAGTTTCCCTGTAGTTGATTAACTTAAATGTCGGGGCAGTAGGTAATAGGTTCAAATGGGGGAGCATTAAAAGGTAAACCTCTCTCCCTCCCTAAAATCATTTTCAGGTGTTTGAGATTTTATTTGTATTAGAAGAGGAGATTTATGACAGGAGGCAGCTCTCTTTCTTGGCTGGGCCCAAATGCCTTGAAATAACATTGTAAGTCCAGAGCCTTTTCACGCTTTCTTGAAAACAAAGAGAGCTCACTTAGGCACCCCTGTGGAACATTCTCAGAACCTGTTGGCTGAGTGCTTGAGGAAAATGTTAAATCATACCAATATCATTTCAGGTCTGTAACTGGTTCATCAACGCCCGCCGCAGGCTCCTCCCTGACATGCTGAGAAAGGATGGCAAAGATCCAAATCAGTTCACAATTTCCCGCCGTGGGGCCAAGATTTCTGAAACCAGCTCTGTGGAATCAGTCATGGGCATCAAAAACTTCATGCCAGCGCTAGAGGAGACCCCGTTTCATCCCTGTACAGCTGGGCCAAACCCAATCCTAGGGAGGCCACTGTCTCCTAAGCCATCATCTCCAGGGTCGGTTTTGGCTCGTCCATCAGTGATCTGCCATACCACTGTGACTGCACTGAAAGATGTCCCGTTCTCCCTCTGCCAATCGGTTGGTGTGGGACAAAACACAGATATACAGCAGATAGCGGCCAGCAGCTTTACAGACACCTCGCTCATGTACCCAGAGGACACGTGTAAATCTGGACCAAGTACAAATACACAGAGTGGTCTTTTCAACACTCCTCCCCCTACTCCACCGGACCTCAACCAGGATTTTAGTGGATTTCAGCTTCTAGTGGATGTTGCACTCAAACGGGCCGCAGAGATGGAGCTTCAGGCAAAACTTACAGCTTAACCATTTTTCAAGCAAAACAGTTCTCAGAAATGTCATGATTGCCGGGGTGTGGCAAGAGATGAATTGCATTATTTTATATATTTTTTTATTAATATTTGCACATGGGATTGCTAAAGTGAAGCTTCCTGTTACTGAAATGTCTTCAATGGAATACAGTCATTCCAAGAACTTATAAACTCAAAGCTACTGTAGAAACAAAGGGTTTTCTTTTTTAAATGTTTCTTGGTAGATTATTGATAATGTGAGATGGTTCCCAGTATCATGTGATTTTTTTTTTTTTTTTCCTCCCTTTCCTCCCCTTTTTGGTGTTTTTTCAGACTGTGCAATACTTAGAGAACTTATAGCATCTTCTCATTCCCACGTGGAACCAGATGCCCACATACTGTCTAATTAATAAGTTTTCAGTTTTTTTCAAACAAGTATGAATCTAGTTGATTGATGCCTTTTTTCATGACATAATAAAAGTATTTTCTTTAAAAGTTATTGTCACACAGAGTATTTTGTTGAGAGAGACGCTTCTTAAAAAAAACCCGAGTAGGAATATGGCACCCCAATGAGCAGGAAGTTGGGGGTGCAGTGTGTGTTGGAGGGGTGGCACCAGCTCTTTGAAGAACTGTGGACAACAAGCCAGTATGTGTAAACAGGATGTGTGATATTTACTCTTGATAGGAAGCATAGCAGGCCCTTAAAGCTTTCCTTAAAACTGCATGGCAAATGGAAATGAAGTCCCTTGGTGATCTATCCTGTGTATTTTCAAACATGACCATATGAAAAGAAAACCCTTAAAGCATCTGCCTATGGCTTAAGTTTTCAGAAGTAAACAACACTCCTTGTTTCTCTCTTCCTTGTTACCCTTTAAAATAACCCTTGCTTGGTGCTACAGTTAGGTAAGCCCTTTGCTTTCAAATATAGCAGAATATCTGTAGAGAAATTGCTTCTTTAAAACATCTTAAAACTTTTTCGAAAATGTTGAGAAAAACAGTGTGGTTCTGTGTATGGTGGGATTGTTAGTTTATTAGGTAAGCATTTTCCAAGGTCACGGTATATGGAAAAAATGGTGCTATGTACAAGTGGACTTTGTTGGGATAGATAATCACTTATAAAGCCCGGATGGCCAGAAGGGAATTGGTGATGCTCCTTTCACTTATATGGTTGAGCAGATTTGTCACATGCCACAAAACCATTCTTTGTAGTCATGCTTAGTATGAGGTTTCTTTGTTGTCATAGTCATGTTCTTTCCAGCCCTGCCACAGCTACGAATTGTCTAAGTTTGAGAGCTCATCAGAGCTTCATTATTGTTCAAAGAATGTAGAAAAATTCTTCCAAATTTAAGTTTCTCTAATTTTGAAACCCTATTTTAGAAAGTCCCTATTGTAGAAAGAACTGAAGCCAAAGACTTTTTTGTAAGTGAAAGAGAAAAACTGACAGTGACCACACACAAGAGGTGTAGAAAGGTAAGAGGAAGATGTGCTCTAGCCTGTGGGAGGTTGCAGCTTTGAAGGGCGTATCAGCATGGAGTGCTCTGGTCCCACCTGAGAGGGTCACAGAAATACTAATAAAGTAAATACAAGGAACAAAATATTGGTAAAAATAAAATAAGGTGATTAAGAATTATTGCTGGCCAGGCATGGTGGCTCACGTCTATAATCCCAGCACTTTGGGAGGTGGAGGCAAGGGGATCACTTGAGCCCAAGGGTTCGAGACTAGCCTGGATAACTTGGCAAGCCATTGTCTCTACAATAAAAATTTAAAAAGTAGCCAGGCATGGTGGCGTGCGCCTGCGGTTCCAGCTACTTGGAAGGCTGAGCAGGAAGAATCACCTGAGTCCAGCAGGTTGAGGGTGCGGCGGCTGTAAGCATGCCACTGCACTCCAGCCTGGGCAACAGAATGAGACTCCTACTCAAAAAAAAAAAAAAAAAAAAAATCACTGCTTGCTCCAATAGCTAGTTCAAAGGCTGACAATTTTGCTTTTGTACAGATATGGGAAACCAGCAAATCCTGAAAGCCTTCCACAGATGGAGGAAAAAAGAAGCAATATGAGTCATTTAAAAGAAAAAAGCTGACAAGTGTCGATGAAACCAGAAGGTTTAAAAAAAAGCTCACCCTAAATTACCTGTTTTAATTTTTTCCCTGTTGAGGTTGTTATAGATCTTGTTTGGTAGTAGTTAATGTATTTTAAGTCTAAGTCGTTATTTAAAAACAGGTAAATGTAATGAAAAAGGTAAATGTGAAAAGCTATTCATATCAAAGCCAAATAGAAATGATTTTTATGGTTATAATTTGCATGGTGCAGTATATCTTTGTTTACTTTTAACCTGTTTCTCTGTTTGTGTTAAAGTTCATCTCATATAGCATCTAGATAGCTGGGTCTTGTTTTTTTATGTTTCACAGTCTCAGCCTTTTACTTAAGAGTCCTTGTCAATGTACATTTACTGTGATTATTGATATGTTTGGATTCCGTTTACCATTTTTTTTCTTTCTCTGTTCCTCTTTTTCTGTTTTCTTTCAGGTTAGTTGAATTTTTTTAGTGTTTTAATTTTCCTATTGGTTTCTAACTATACTCTGTATTATGTTTTTAATGGTTCTAGGGATTACAACATCTTTAATTTATTGCAATCTATTTAGGGTTAATATTACACAACTTTTACCTCTCTTCCTTTTTGTTTTTTCAATATAGTACAGCAACACATATGATAAACCCAGAAGTACAATGCTATAAGTTTTGCTTTTAACAGGAATGTGTCATTTAAATGATTAAGAGAAAAAGTAATGCATTTCTTTTATTTTGCCAAATATTTACCATTTCTGGTATTTTTTTTTTTTTAACTCATTTTTACTTTTTTTTAGTTGGAATCTCACCCTGCCACTCAGGCTGGAGTGCAATGGCATGCTCAAGGCCACTGCAGCCTCAACCTGTTAAACTCAGGCGATCCTTCCGCCTCAGCTGTCCAAGTAACTGGAACTACAGGCGTGCACTACCTAATTTTTGATTTATTGTAGAGATGAGATCTTGCCAAGTTGCCCAGGCTAGGTTCGAACCTCTGGGCTTAGGCATTCCTCTTGCTTCGGCCTCTCAAGGTACTGGGATTACAGACTTGAGCCACCGTGCCCTGCCCTGGTGTTCTTCATTCCTTCCTGTAGATCTCAGTGACATATGGTGTCATTTCTCTTCAGCGTGAATAATTTCTTTTTTTTTTGAGTTGGAATCTATATCGCCCAGGCTGGAGTGCAGTGGCACGCTCACAACCACCGCAGCCTCAAACTGCTAGGCTCAGGCTATCCTTCTGCCTCAGCTTTCCAAGTAGCTAGGACTACAGGTACACACCACCATGCCTGGCGGATTTTTTTATTTGTTGTAGAGATGAGGTCTCTCCAAGTTGCCCAGGCTGGTCTCAAACCCGTGGGCTCAGGCAATCCTCTAA